AAAAGTATTGGTTCTATCGCGGATTTGTGAAAGTATTGGTTCCATCGCTGACGGGCGTAACCACAGAGGGACTGATTTTCTCATTAACGGGAGGTATTGGAATTAAAACTGGAGTTACTCAGTGGTTCAAATGAACAGCGTTAGTCATCCTGTAGTAAACCTGTTGACGATTCTTTTTCCGAGATTGCTATCGAAAGAAAAAACAGTTGCATAGGGCCATTTAACAGTTTACCATTGACACGAGTCAACAAATCGTGCATTAACTGGTTTTCTTACTAATGGATTTGATACTGAAAGTAAGCGTCACTTGTGAAGCGCTGAGTTAGCTAATAGATATTTATATCCCAGAAATACTTCGTAATGCATTTAAAATATGCGTTTCTTCGTGTATTTGCAGTTTATCAATTATGATGGAATTTTGGGTGTATTAGAATGTACCAGGAACACCAAGAACGCCAAAGTACCAATCTTGGCGTTCTAGTCTTGGTATGATGTTGCTGAGATGGGTAATATGGATGTTGTGTCACCGACAGAATCAGTCGGGAGGACCGAAACGGAATTGACAAACAAAATTTTTATTTCACAGAAGGGACGAAAGCTAAGCTAACCGCTCAACTCAAATTGTTTACGAGAAGATGACAAAAACATCGATTACAGGGATCCTTTTTCCATTCAGAGAACAATCCCGCTAATTAGTAGCAAAAAAGCTAGCTCCTCTGACTCGGTCAGCAATACCCTTACAATTAGCATTAATTAGATAGGGATGACCGGAGGAGTCGGAGAAGCCTACTAACGATCAAACGGTCAACGCAAGGTCAACGATGGCTTAGTGAGGCCTACCTCACAACACCAAGAAGGCAAAATCGTTGTTTTTAACGATAAATAGTTCCGGTAATACACCTTGACTTAAGGTTCAAGCAGCTAAAAAGTTCGAATTTCAGTCAGCCGAAGCGTCTCCGCCATCGGTACCTGTAGCGGCACCGGCACCAGGAGTAACTGGAATGGAAAAAGAAAAACCGCTACTGGCTCCGCTGAGCAATTCACCAGTGTTACCGATGAGTAAACAGAATTTGCTACCGCGGACGCTCTATCCGACAATGTGGCCGGCCGGTTTTCCGGCTCCAGCATCAACGCAGATGGCATTTCCCAGTCAGGACGATCTCAAAGCTTATCAGCGCATCGTTGAGTAAGTTTTAAGGTGCAGACTTTTAGCGTCGATATTTCCTGATAAATCAAGTGCTCGGT